TGAAGGCCTGTGTGGGAAGCGTTGTTTACAGTCATCTTTGCTGAGGTAACAGACTGTTCTCTGGAATATCAGGGCTGAGGCGACACCAGCTTAGAGCTGTTGTCTTTAAAAAGCAGGTACCAAGAAGCCAGGTGCGTAGATTTCCTCTGGTTCTCACATGAACCACCTACTCTTACGTTATTATCTGGCCCAGGAGTGGGGTCGATTCTTTAGTCCGTGACCATTAAACTTGACACCTGTGCGTTGGGTTCTGTGAATACTGCCCTTTTGGCCTTTGGGGGAGGTTTCTTCGTCCCCGGCCGTCACTGCTCACCTGTCAATCCAAATCAGTGTCAGCTGAAGGGCGGTTTCAGGACAGCCCTCGTCTCCGTGGTGGCCTTCAGTGAGGACAGCCTCCTAACCTCTAGCCAGTGGGGTCCCGGCCCAGAACCATCTCTGAGACCCGTCCTTGTGGATGTGTTAATATCTGATCATTCAAACTTCCAACCGCAAGCCTCCCACCGGCCAAGGGAAAAGAGACGCCAGAACCGTGGGCACTATCAGACCGACATGGCCAGTACAGAGGAAAACTAGGGAAGGAGTGGTGATTTGCACCTTATCGAAAAGGAAATATTACGTGCATACATAGTTAAGAGCTTTTATTGTGACAGGAGAACTTTTTTCCATATGCGTGCATACTCTCTGTAATTCCAGTGTAAAATATTGTACTTGCACTAGCTTTTTTAAAACAAATATTAAAAAAAAATGGAAGAATTCATATTCTATTTTCTAATCGTGGTGTGTCTATTTGTAGGATACACTCGAGTCTGTTTATTGAATTTTATGGTCCCTTTCTTTGATGGTGCTTGCAGGTTTTCTAGGTAGAAATTATTTCATTATTATAATAAAACAATGTTTGATTCAAAATTTGAACAAAATTGTTTTAAATAAATTGTCTGTATACCAGTACAAGTTTATTGTTTCAGTATACTCGTACTAATAAAAATAACAGTGCCAATTGCAAATGTGTCCTTGCCTTGTGTCAGGTCCTCGAGGAACGCTGAGGCTGAGGCAACGGGGAATTTCTCCTTCCTTACCCACGGTCATCACCCCGTGGGTTTGGGGGGCGGTGACATGGGCATTGCCTGTACTGAGGGTGTGGGGAGCAGAGGTCGTGATGAGTTTCTGAGACAAAAGGTCCACTTCTGCATCTGATGCTGTGCCTGGCTCTGTTCCTGTTGATTGCTCCTATCTGAATCCCACTGTTTACAAGAGATAATTGTTTCTAAACAGCATTTGGCAGCTTGGTGCGCTCACATAGCATCATGGATACATTCTGTACAGTTTCACTGTAAACCGGTTCGTGGTCTGAAGGCAAAGTTCACTGTAGTTAAAATGTTTCCTGTAGTTATGACTGTTAGAAACACAAGGCGGGGTGGGTCACCCAGCATGTGGAGGGACCTGTTTGTCTCAAGCAGTTGCCCCAGAAAGTGGGTCTTTCAGTGACATTTGCCAGCTGCTTGTGTGACGACGACCCCCTAACTGTGAGGCCCTGCAGAGGTGGAGGAGAACTCGGTGTCGTTCGCCCAGGGAGGGGAGGGTAACGCTGTCCTATCTTCCTGGTTAGGTGTTTGGGGACATCTCACCAGACTCTCCTCTCAGGACTTACGTGAGGCCCTGAGCGTTGTGCATGTCGGTGTGTGACAGGACGTGCACTGAGCCAGCAGTGAGGAGGTGAGCCTCGCAGCCCGACAGGAAGCCTGCCGTGTCCCCGCCTCCTCCAGAGCAGTTTGGGTGGCCGTGCCGTGTGCTGGGGCACGCGCGGGGCAGCAGTCTGAACCGTTGCCTGCCCTGTTTTAACGTTAGATGCTAATGGCTCTGACAAGTTTGGAGTCCAATGGCTATGAGTCTTACCTGGACTGGCCACACCGATTAGGAAAGCCTTTGCCTCCCCGGCTGCAGAGGGGAGGCCTTGACACGGTTAAGCACACAGCGGGACCCCGAGGCAGACAGAAGGCACCCAGTTCCCTGGCTCCTTCCCTCCTCACCCACCACTGCTGCATGGAGGCCTGCACTCAGGCAATAGGGCTGCTTCCATCTGTGTCCCTACACGCGCCTGGTCTGTGGGCTGCTCCCCTGCGGGCTCCCCTCCCCCCCCCCGACTCCTGTTGGAGGCAGAGATGAACTGGCTACCGAGTGGATGCCTTAGAAGCACTGCTTATTGTGCAGCCTCTGCTTCCAGATGATCCAGCAGAGTGTGTGGCTTTTCCTATAACTCAGTTTTCACGTCCCTAAACACCTGAGCAAGGGACCGGCATTTGGTTGGTTGGTGCAATAAAAGAGCTAGTCTGCAGTCTGCGCAAGACAGATGGCACCAGCAGACATCCCGGCAGAGGGCTACCCCCAGGGGCCATTGGGTGACGGGTGCCCCGACCCTGGGCACTCTGAGGGGAGCTCAGGAGGAGACCAGTCTGGGAGGGAATACTGGTAACAGTCCCTTCCCACTGACTATTGCTGGAACATCTTAAGTGGATCCCCTCAGGTCCTCCTTTGCTTCACCTCTCTCCCTCATCCTATATAATAAAGAGGTAATATGCAAATTGACCATCACACCCTCACACAAGATGGCCACCCCCATGTGGTCAAAGATGACCACCCCCATGTGGTCAAAAGATGGCTGCCACAAGGTGGCCGGCAGGGGAGAGCGGTTAGGGGTGACTGGGCCGGCAGGGGAGGGCAGTTGGAAGTGACCAGGCTGGCAGGGGAGGGCAGTTGGGGGCAACCAGGCTGGCAGGGGAGGGCAGTTGGGGGTGACTGGGCTGGCAGGGGAAGGCAGTTAGGGGAAATCGGGCCAGCAGGGAGCAGTTAGGGGGTAATCAGGCTGGCAGGCAGATGTGGTTGGGGGCAATCAGGCAGGCAGGCAGGCAGGTGAGCTGTTGGGAGCCTGCAGTCCTGGATTGTGAGATGGATGTCTGACTGCTGGTTTAAAACAGCAGTCGGACATCCCCCGAGGGGTCCCAGATTGGAGAGGGTGCACGAATTTCATCTCCCTAATATGCAAATAGACCAAACGGCTGAACAACCGAACTGGTCACTATGGTGTGTGCTGACCATCAGGGGGCACGCACAGAACATGGTGGGCATCAGCTGTGGTGGGATGGTGGAGCAGGTGAGTGGGGGCACCAGACCAAGGCAGGGCACCAGTTGCTGTCACTGGGGCAAGCCTCTGGTGGTTACTGAAAATTCTTTGCTCCCGCGCTGCAGTCCCACTGGGTGCTCGCATCTGCTGCTGGCACTGGCCCCACTTGCACCTGCTGCAGGCCCCGATTACCCCTCAGGGCTTCTCCACCTCCCCCTGCTCCTGAGAGGCGATTGGGGCAACAGCCACTGCTTGCACCCACTGATGGCACCAGCCCCAATCACTCTGTGCAGTCAGTGGGTGCGAGCAGGGCCATCAGTGCATGGGAGCAGCGGTGGCGGGAGCGGGGCTGCTGGCAGACAGGGGACTGGGAGCCTCAGCGGGAGGAGCCAGACAGGGGTGTGGAGGATGGGCCGAGACCCGCCCCTGTGCCCACCACAGCCTCGCAGCCCGAAGTTCCTTTCAAGGTGAGTGAATTTATGCACTGGCCTCTAGTTTTGCATAAAGAAACAACAAAGAGGAGTGTCAAACACATCTTCCATCTTCCACAGGACAGCCTCGGGCTCACCCCTCCCACCCAGCAGACAGAAAAGGCGGGGTGCCTCCAGCACAGCCCCACATCTTGCTCTGACTACACGTCCTTGACCCCCACATCTCCAAGGTGTAGCCATTCACATTTCCACCAGTACAAGCATCATTCTCCACGGATGTGGGGGGAAAGGTATTCCAGTGGAGTTAAAGTTGCTGGTCTTTGACAGTATTGTAAGACTGAAAATGGAGTGTGTGGGATTTGGTTGTTTCCCTCCTACAGTGGACCCTCGGCCCCTCCTTACTCTAGGGCCATCGCTGCCTTTTCAGGGAAAAGTTTACTCCTGTGTCTGCTTCTTTAGAAGTAACACCCTGGTCTGCATACACCCTCCAGTCCTCTCTCTCAAATAATGCTTCAGAAAGCGGCCAGCTGTCACCAACGCGCCACGTTCACCACTGACACCGCATCACAGCGGACACAGCGCCACAGCGGCCGGCTGCAGGGCTCTGCCAGGCCCGGTCCTCTCTCCAGGAAAGCACCGACGTTTCTGGTGAGTTGACGGTTATCCAGGAGCACTGGCGGGCCTGCCTTCAAAGCATAATCACCAGGAGGGGCCGGTTCTGGTTCTAACTCATATGTTAAACCAATGCTTTTAGGAAGCTGCTGGTCAAGGTTTTTGCTGTTTTTTTCTATGGGACTCTACCTGCTAATTTTTTGGTGGATAACCTTTCACTAAAATATGGCGTGGAATTTCAAAGTAATGTATAATCTCTTTAAGAGAGCGGCCAGCCAGGCAAGTTGGGACGCAGAAAGGAAGGGGAAGAGATGGAGAAACAAAGCTAAGTGAGGGACAGGGACAGGGACAGGGACAGGGACAGCTTCCCAGAAGGCGCACAACTGGCAGGGGCAGACGACCTGCTCCCCAAAGACTCGGCTACCAAAGGGGTGAAACACATCACCGCCCACTGAGAGTATCAGTGGAAACCAATTCCTCCTCACCCGCCCTTTTGTGCTTTGGTTCTTCTCCAGAAAACGGAAGGAAGCTGGAGGGGGGTGACCTGGTTACCCTGACCTCCCCCCCCCCACCAGGTGCCTGGACTTAGGGCCACGAGCGAGAGTGTCTGGGAAAGAGGTGGTAAACCCCCAGTTCCCCTACAACTTGGCTCCCAAAAAGGCAAACTCCAGGACTCAGTAAGTCTTAAGGTAACAGCATTATATTAAAGTGAAACCATTTTCTTTTTAAAAAAGAAAGAAAAAGGTACGAGTGTTAGTTTGAACAATGAGGTTATGAGTTCCGGGCAGCTGGGCTCTGACCACTGACCCTATCCGTGCTCTGCTTCCCGCCCCACCACAGGCACCAGGGGACCCCAGCGCCTCCGGGCGGCAGGAGGGGAGGCAGCGTCCCGCTGTTCAGGAGCAGCCCGAAGCCCAGACGGACGGACGGACGGGGATGTGAACGCAGTGTGTGGAAGCTTCTGTGAGCAGCCGGCACCTGCCCCCAGGTTAGCCGAACACCGTGTTGTGCTGCTGGGTCACCCGGATGAACGTCGTCCTCTTGCTGAGCTCTTTGAGCTTGGCGGCCCCCACGTAGGTGCAGGTAGACCTCAGTCCCCACCAGAATATCCAGGATCGTGTTTTCTACGTCTCCTTCTGGTAAGGGACTTCCCACGGGTCTTGCCCCTCCGAACGCTCTTGGGAGGAGAAAAGGAAGTGCTCCCTTTTAGCCCCACTTTGTCTTCCCTTAGGCACCATTTTGGGCCCTGGAAGCAGGCCCCAGGGCCCCCTCAGGTAGCCAAAATGCCTCCTGAGCCCCACGCCCCACACTGCCCTCACACATCAGGGTGGCCCCCGCCCTGTACCTCAGATGGACAGGTCCCTCCCCACCCCGAAACTGCCTTGAACCTCCCTGGCCGGCGTGCTCCGGAAAGGGATCCTGGTGAAGCAAACAACTGGAGGGTTGCAGGAACCCCGGACCCTTCCCCAAACGGCATTTTCCTTCTTCAGCAGGCGGGCCTTCC